AGAAAATGCTCTTAATATGGTTTTAAATAAACTATTTTTATTGTATTTCTTTTATTTTTAAATCAAGCATTTCCATTAATTATTTAAAATGAGCGAATAAATTAATACCTAATATCAATAACGTTTGTATTTATAACAAATTTATACTAGATTATCATGGATTTTATTATATTAAAGTTTTTTTACTGAATATATCAAGTAATAAGGAAATATACTAAATATCATAAGATTACTTTAAATTCTACCATAGATTTGTCAAGTGCTATATGTTTTATACCTATAATTCCTATAACTCCATTGCTCGCATCTTTTAGATCATGTCCTATTTAATATGACATTATTCTGTTTCCTTGACCTGTCTTTAACTATTATACATCTTCTGTTTCAAATGAAAGTACTTAAATTCTAGGATCATCAAAAGCGAACCAATTCACAAATACTTAATAAAGAGGTTATGGAGATACTGCTATTACAATTATTTTGAATCCTTCATATATATATTTAGATATAAATTACCTTTTGTATTAATGAAACTAACCTATAAAATGAAACCTCCTGGAAGGTCTTATTTCCAATCCATATATTATGTCTAAATAAACACTTAAGGAGGATTTTTTAAAATTTTTGAGAAACTTAGGTCAATAGTCAAAGATCTTGGAAGCATTGACGAACTTTCTAGAATATGACCAGTAGCGGTTATCATAAGCTATTTTTCACCTACATCAACCTGTAATGAACTATAACTCCAAACTAATAACAATTATGATGAAAACATAATGTTCCAAAAATCATAAAATAAATAATATTCAAAGTTAATATCATTTTTATCACCCTATTAGATCAATAAAACTAAAATAAGTTCAATCTGAATTTGCAAATATTTTAAATCTAATGCCTATATAAAAGAGTTTAATCAGAAATTTTATACAGAAATGAAATAAATAAAATTTAATTTCTTTTATCTCAATATTAAAAACCTTAAGTAATAAAAATAATTACTTAAAATTTTTCTATCAATCGAATTAAAAGAGGCTTATAGTTTATAACTTTTAAAAGAGTCAATAAAAAGTTAATTATAATAAATAATATCAACTTTAATTTTAGGAATATTTGATAAAATTTCTTTTGAAAGATTGCGTTCTTCGAAAAACGTAATCTTTCAAATCCGCATCTTTTAATGTAAATTATATTGATTATAAAAGGTTTTTTAGAAACCAAAT